TTGGAGTGGTTTAGAAGGCGTTAGTGTTTTTTTTAGTGAAGTTGTTTATGAATTGCTATATGTAGTTAGGATGTCTTGTGCTGTCATTTGCAAGTAACAGATGCTCCAATTTAAGCTTGTTATTGACTTATTTCTATAGATTTAATAGCTTCACTAACTTATTCAGACTAATTAGAATATACAGCCTATATGTACAGAAACATGTTTTTTAATGGTTTACAACAGATAATACTGGTTAAAGAATGAATTGCTGTCATTTTCTTGTTTAGCTAAGTTCGGACGATGGATGAGTAGAAACCTACTGTATAAAAAGACCCATGAAGTTTTACTGATCATACATTAAAACACAAAAAAAGGATAGTCAACGTGGGGTCTAAGAGGGCCAATGTATACAACAGTTTAATCTTACCATAGGAAATCATATTGGTGATGCTGACTTGTTTTCTTAACTGGGGTTGATTGGCTTTTAGCAAATCTGGGCTTTGAGTGTTATTTGTGTTTGCAAATGGATTATTGCTGGCTTGAGCGTGTCTTATTCCAGACTTTCTTTGGTGCACAGAGATTAGTAATTATCATATATAAAGATAGAAAATAAGAAATCATAAGTATCATAATATTTTGCCAAATATTTTAATCAGTACAATTAGATAAACAGTTAATGGGAAAAATATCCAGGTTACTTGACAAAAGAAAGTTGTTGTATCCTTTTTTAGAGATCCCTGACATAAGATGTGCACACTTTTATTCAAAAATGAGGTCAATATTCAATTTTAGGTTGTCTGCTAAATTAGTAATTCCTGATGGGGATGTTTGTCAAGCGGTCCAAAATACTTGAGCTAAGCCTGTTGACTTATTAATATCAAGCTTCTCCAAAATTAAAGCGACGTTTTAGATGCTCATGGAGTTTTGCTAAATGACAATATCCCTGATGCCCCTATCTGATGTTCTGTAAATAACTTCTCATATGGTAGGGCTTATCTCACTAGACTTGGAAATCAGAACTCACACTTTTTTTCTGTTTCTGACCATGAATTTAGTGTCCCTAAGCCTTCCATCCATAAATTTTACTCTATAGTATTACATGAAAAATGCATTGATGTTCCTCCAGCACTCAAAATAAGATATTATCACCTGGTCATATGATTGCACAATGAAATTTTTAGACTCAGTTTGCTTCCAACATAGGTGCTCTGAAATTCTTTTCAAATTATTATTTTATAGAGGGCCTTGGTGTTATGGTAACTGTTGTTTGTTTACAACTTGGGCAGCTAGGATTTGAGTCATGGAAACAGTCTGTGTGTGTGCAGGGTAAAGCTCTATAGATTGATTCTCCCTAGACTCTCACTGGCAAGAGCCTTGGCAAGACCCTCATACTTTTGATTTAGTATGTATTATTATAGCAATGACCCAGGATTATTTTACACAGACTGTTATTTGCTGTAGTCTTTTGAGACTGTCTTGCAAGTTGATATCAGATTGCAAATAACTGCCACAAACAAATTTCTTGAGATCGTGTTGTTCAGCAATTGAAATCATAGATATTTTGAGTTTCTTTATGGTTGCTATGGATAGCGATGAGTCAATTTGGGTTGCAGTCATTGGCATTTGATGATAAAATATGGCAGGATGAATAGAAAATGTTATAAGGGACACCTGTCTATTCAATTAATTGCCTAGAAATTCCACCTTCAAACAATCATTTGTCTCTTGGTTGAAGTGGTGCTAACAAAAAATGAGTACAGTGCATCAGGTATAAAATCCGACCAACTAAAAAGGTACTTGAATTTAAAATGTATCTAGGGTCCTGCTTATTACCCAAATCAGTTGAAGTGAGTTGGTAGATCTGGGTATCCTTCCTTCTCTAGTTAATATCAGGAATGACAGTGGATAGGATATTTGAGAATCTCATCTTACCATATCCCGAACCCTACCATCTAGGTATCAGGACTTGAACCTGACTCAAATGCCTACTCCCATATGTGATTCATGGGTATTCGAGATTCAAGACTGGTTTAAGCGGACCAGGTAAACTCAGGTAGCCAAAAAAACCTTATTTCTGCCGTCGACATCAACAAGAAGCATTGATTGTTTTTAAGTGGACTAGAATAATTTTGCATATATTATTAACTATAAAGAAGCCTAATTTCTTGTTATAAAGGGTTTTTAATATAATAATACATATTAAACCATGCAATTTTAGATGACTGATTTATGATGCACTTTTTCTTTTTCTTCACTTCATCGGGGTCTGCATTTTATTGCTATCTGTTTATGTTGATCACAGGCTGCAGCTATGTTCAAAGTCTTGCATAGAGACCCACCAATACCTGATTCATTGTCCAATGAGGGCAAGGACTTTCTGCGGTGTTGCTTTCGGAGGAATCCTGCAGACAGGCCAACAGCCAACATGTTGCTTGAACATCAATTCGTAAAGCACTCCCACCACTACAATGTTCATGGTTCTCTACAGGCATTTGCAGGGATTAAAATTATAGTAAGTCTAAGTCCTTCCATTACTTCTGCAAGTAAATCTTAACCTTATTATGTATTAAATGGACTGGAATAACTGTTTTGGTCATAATAGGATAATAGTATCAGTCCACGAGACAAAAGTAAATCAAGAAGCGAATCTTGTGTGAAAGGAAAACACCCAACTAATGGGTAAGCTTGTTGCCTGTGAAGTTACAGTAACTTGTTTAACTTATGTTTCATTAGAGCTACAAAATGTTGATTTCTCTTTAGGGAATATGGTCGCTCTCATCCTGAAACTACTGAGGCAGCAACCTGTCGCACTTCACTTCGTTCTGCACCTGAAATTGCTTCTAGTTCATCTGCTTACACAAATTATACTATACTGAGTTCAGCTGGCTCTTCTGTGAATGTTCTGAATGGCGTGCATTCGGCTGCTGGAATTCTCCAGCCCTACGTGTTACCCAGGCCTCACGCGAAAGAAGCTGTGGATCTCTCTTGATACGACTGCTGTGCAGGGTCAGGCCCAACTTGTTCTGAAATCACAGGTAATGAATATGACAACCTGCATAGAAAGATGAGATCATTCGAGATAAATTGGTTGTTTACAACTTACCATCAATACTCCTTCATGTAGCTCCTGTTTTTTCAATCTGAGACTGAGAAGGTATTTGCTTTTAACCACGATGGTGCGGGGGCTTTGTAAATGGTGGCCTGTGGATCCTCCAAATTAGCTTGGTCGATGTATGCATCTTTTGCAGTCTGGATGGAGAGCTGCATGTTGTATGCTACTTGTGTTGTGTTCAATAGTGAAGCAAAATTCAGGTGGACAAAGTTCCCAATGTGATTGTTTGATAGCTAGTCTGTACCTCTCTATACAGCAATTGAAAGTAAGAGATTGAAGGGTTATAGTTACACCTGATCTCCAATGTAACAGCAAATGACAATCCTCTCCTTTCTTCTTTGTTTTGCCTGGTTATACATCTCAGGATAAGCATTTGCTATCATCTCAGGATAAGCATTTGCATTGTCCTCAGTCTATAAGCTCGAAATAACGCATTTCAACTCGTGTGTCTTTTCAAGGCTAATTATATATTGTTGTAGTTAGTTATTTTTAGCATCACGATGGTTTTTATGTATTTATTATTTACCCGTTTTGTTTGCGGTCATTTTTGCAGTTCAGCATTTCCTTCAATTTTCTTGAAAACAATTTCATAGTAAAGGTTTTTGAAACGACGACGATGGGGTTTGGCTTTTATGAAAGGTATGATCATCTTTGAGAGAGATTTGAAACGACGACGACGGACACCAACTCTATTTCCTTTGACATTTGTCTTCTGAACTAGACTTGATCCAACCGAGTCAATGATTTGCAGGCTTTTTGCTGATTCAATTACGATTTGGTTCCAAATCGATAAAAGAAAAAAAAAATCCAAACACTCAAATGTCCCTTTAAATAACAAAATTACCCCTTGCTATATTTTAATAATCAGACTAATTATAGATAGCTATCTTTAGCTATGTTTAAAATATATAGTTATATTTTAAACATAGCTAACAATTTAAATAACAAAATTCTAGGGGATGATGCCGCAAAAGCGATTGGAGTTGATGTAGAGGAGGAGAGCATTGGTCAAGAAGGTACTTAGTGATATCAATGCTGTTAAGGTTGACGATATTGACCGAGGGGTCATCAGGCATCATAGTGCAAAAGATGTCATGATAGCGGCACACGTTTAGGCTGACCTTGTTTCGTGACGAAGGCAAGGATTGATAATAATAATGTCGATCTCAACATCGAACTCAAAGTCGTTAAAGAGGTCTCCCTTCTCAAAAGGGCCAGGAACTGACGGTGTGCAATGAAGGTAGTCTCAACATTAGAGAAGTCCAAGAAAAAGGACGAAAGAATAGAGAAATAAAACAAGATAACAAAACTGAAAAGGAGGTAGTCTCCACATTAGAGAAGGCCAAGAAAACCGACAAGAGAAAAGAGAAAGAAAACGAAACCGAAAAAAAGAACGATGAAAATAACGATTATAAAATTATTTTTTCTCTTTTTTACTATTATTTTTTACAGTAAATCGATGACATACGAAACAAGATTAAATATTTCATTTTCATAAGTATATGGATCATAATATAATCTTTTAAAATATAAAAATCAGAATGCTAAAGATAACTAAGTATCCCTCAATAATCACATCATTAAAGATGTATTTTAGTAAAATTAAAAATTAAAAATAATTTGAATTCTCAATAATTAAAAAACAACACCAATTTGGGATACAAACTGCTACTTCAAGAAACGAAACAAAATCCAAAACCAAAACAAAAACTGTCTATATCTATTCAGTTCCGAATCCAAATATCTCAAAACCAGAATTGTCAGACTCCCAAACAGAACATGGAGTACTCCAAACAAAACCCAATTAGTGGATGCCCTAATCCGACCTGGTCATATGTATAATAGCATGTTTATGCAACGACATCCATCATGAATGCCAAATTGAAGTAAATTCAACTCACATGACTACATAGGAACTGACAGTAAGATAAGAAAGCACGTCAACAATCATATTTGGGAAGAGAGGTTGGATACAGAGGATTTTCAATTAAATAATAAAATTAGAAACAACAGAAACCTGCAGTTGAGGTTACATTGATGCAATCATGCTCCAGATCTCACTATTAGGAGCTAATTATCCATATAGGCAGAAAAGTCGTATGGGTTGGATTCAGCCATCACCAAAGCTTGATTCAGCTACAAAACAGAAAAAAACAAGAGTAATCACCACTGCTACACTCATAACCCTGATCCAGTGCAAGCATTGAAGAAACTTAGTCATTTATCATTTACTCTGCTTACCATGCAAATGAAGTTCAGGTTCCATCATCATCATCATCATCAACAACAAGCAGGTAATCATCAATCAGTTCCCTAAAACGAAAAATGAATAGCTTGAGAAAATATTTTCGTTCCATGGTGTATCTTTAAGGGTTCAAACAAACAGATAATAGTAGAACAGACCAATAATCCATGCAGCCCTTACCCTAATTGACTATGATCTGATGTGCCATCAGTCACTCTTACTGTCACTGATTGGGGAAGGACAGTATAGAACTGTTGAAGAGATTCTGCTCCCTTTGGTAAGATCTGAAATGAACAGCTCTGGCAACAATGTGCAGCAAAATTTTCAACCGGTGTTTGGGTTTTTTCCTGAATGTTTCTCAGACTCTGGACTTCTGGCTCGCTGAGTGGACTCCCACATAATGGGCAAAGAACCTCGGAGAGAGCAGTTTCACTATTATTTATATTCTGGAACTTGCAACGCAATCGGGAAGGCACGAATTCGTGGTAAGTATTTTCAACAAACTTATTGAAACAAAATGGCCTAAGCTTTTCTGCTGTTCTTACAATAGTGCGCTCTCGAGAAGGGTTTTCATCCTGCAAATGCAACAACCTTTTGTTGATGTTTATAAGATGGAAGAGTGAAAAACTAGTTCAAGCTACCATCTATGCTTTCATTTACAAGTCAAATCAAGAAGCCTGGGTATTAACATATGAAATGAATTCTAGCAGAAACATTTTACCCTCAAGCGTGCAACAAATGATGAGACCAAACTGTTGATGCTATTAGAAGGCCTCTTGATCAGCTGCAACAACTCCAAACTATCCACACAGTTAACTATCCACACAGTTAGAACGATCCAACCAAAAGGAAATATTAACAAACTGTCAATAAACATGTTTTACCCATCAAGATGACAGAGCTTGTTTAGCTCCTCTGCTGTACAGTCACGAAGAGGAAGGACTACTGGCACTTCCCACCTTGCATCAACATATTGCACATCTCCAGGTAAGGAATAACCTTGACCCTGCAAATAAAATCTTGTCAGAACTTCATGTACCATATCTTATTTCATATAACATGTAGCGACAAAGCATGCATCGATACAGAATAGACATGACAAGAGTTAAATATCCTGACACCGCAAATCTTGTGGAGTGACCATGTCCCAGAATGGACATGGCAATTCATACTTGTATATTATTTTTTTATTTATCACAATTTTATACTTTTACTATGTAGAAACCTTCGATCATGAACAACATATATAAGGATACCAACCATTCGAGAAAGTAGCGCACTTTAAAAAAAATCAACAAACACTAATATGAAACATTTACATTAAGGAGTAAATCAAAATATCACATATACATTCTAAGGATGTCACGTGTAAAAGTTATATGTGGATGATAAAGTGTAAATTGTATGTCAATCCTAATATATGTTGAAGTACCCAGTATATGTCAAGAATTACCCAACAAGTGTCAAGACCAACATTAACACATGAACACCAGAAGCATTCATAGTTCATTATCTTATGTGTACATGAAAGCATGGAGCTGCAAGAATTTACAGACCTTCACAGTTGCGGATATTACATGGCATGCTATCGTTGATGTGCATGATCCCAACAAAAGCTTGCTATATCCATTATCCAGAGCAATCTGCAAAAGAATATTTATCATGTCATTGGTTTTCTTTTGTATCCACAAAATTGATGCAGACAATCATCAATGGAAATAAACCTTTTGTAAAGTAAGCATGCGCAAATACTTCATAAAATCTTCTTTTCCAGTGGCATCAGTAACTGAATCCAGTAACTCATTCAGTCTAATTCTTCCATCATTAGAACTCGTAGAACAGATGTTCTCAATGGGTGCAATATGCAACTCCTTATGAGCAGGAGATAATGTTGATACAATCGATCTGATCTGTGCAATGACCTTATTCATCTCATGTAATGGGCCAATAGAGATGGCGCTTTCATCAATAAAAGCAACCCCAACACCAAAAACTGGTAAAGCTTGAGATTTACTCGCATCCCAGTTCTTCAGTGATATGCATTGCATCTCATGAACAAATTGTAGAGCTATTCTGCCACAAACAAGTATAGTGAGCTAAATAAATTAAACACAACACGATAACTAGTAAAATAAACAGTACATGAACAAAGGAGAAGCAGAAGAAATGTCTCCAAAACACTCCAGACTACCAACTTGCAGTCAGAAATCCAATAACATCCATAGTCACAATCTAGCAAATTACTATCTTCAAATAAAATATTGAAACATGCAGACCCTTGCTTCAAAATCAGAGGCATACACAATCTTAATAAGCCAATCTGATAGAGGATCAATTAAGCCAACATGAAACAATAAATAGACTGCACACACACATAGAAATGCCCTTGCCTTGTCAAAGCATGAAAAAAGACATTTTAATTTCATGGTGGTGTTGTTGTCAACTCAAATATCTCATGTTCCTTATCTTCTTATTCAACAAAGATCATGACATTGATTATCTTGCACCTATGCCAATTGTCCACTTTTCATTACAATGGAAAAAGAGGTATTTCCTTCAAGGCTCAACTAACTCGACATCCATCAGAAATTTTCATTAGCTTTGCTTGTGATGCAGTAGAAATAAATGAACTAATTGGCCATTTTGAAAAAATTACCTTGTATTATGGTAAAATATAGGTACCCAATGAGCTAGACGTTCATCTGGCTACTCAGGCTTCATCAAAAGTCTCAAACAATACAATGGATTCTGAGGCTAAAACTTCTGTTGGGATGCTCTCTTTTAGGTCACAAATAAATTTTTTTGTTTATTTTCTTTCAGAGAGCACCAGTAATATGTTATTTATTTTCTGCAGTTCTACAAAATTGTTCCTGCCTGAAATAATTAATGAATCTCATTGTTGTAATCAATCATTTAAGATGTTCCAAGTTGTGTCATCAATGCCAATTTGAACTTCTTTTGAGAAGGCTTGCCTACATGCATACAGTACCGCTTGTAGCACTTGATGCAGCATCTTCAAGACCTTAGCATCATTTGGTGTGACAATGAAGTCAAAATATTGTTCGGCTAAAAAAATCTAGCTAGTGGGTCATCGGTATAGGGTTTTGGTATATTAATTTATGCAATTACGACTGGGCATCACATTCCATATGCTGCTTACTCAAGTAATATGTTTCAAGATATGTGATGAGTCCTGGACATTATCGTTATATTTGGGAAAACTGTTTACAGAACATAAAGCAAATGGACTGATTTATTAAGAAAACACAAAATTCCCCAACTATCGTCTGATGAAGTACATAATCTGTTCTTATATATAGTACATACTAGGTGTCTTGTCCAACTGATTCAGTAGATACATTTGCTTTAATATAAATAGTTGGCATGGCATAAGTATACATCAACAAATGATTGTAGGCATTATTGAGGGAAGTCTGTAATTCTAGTCCATATCCTTTTGGACTCTAATTTGCATGTTTTGTTTGGGACTACAACAAAAAAGGTTCTAAACAGAAACAAACTAAGAATAAAACCCTCTAATCCACATATATATATACATACATATACATATATATACATACATACATATACATATATATATATATATATATATTAGGGGAAATCGTTGATGACATATAAGTCAACCCGAGGTGGTGGCTGAGGTAGCTCCGAGGTGTAGGTGTGGAGCTCTTGAAGCTCATTTGCACTAAGATCAATGTCGGGGTAAATTTCTCGACCCGATCCCTTCGATGATTAAGTTAGTGATCGAGATCTCTTAGTGGGTGTGGATTTTTCCTTGGAAAAAGAGCCCCCTACCATAGCGTCGGAGATTAACTTTTATACCTAGCCTTGAAGGAGACAACCTATAACCTGAGGCTAAGAGGGAGATGGGGCGATTACAGGTTGTCTCCTCCAAGGCCGAGTATAAAAGCTAATCCCCGAAGCTACACCAGGAGGCTCTTTTTTCAAGGAAAAACTCACACCCACTAAGAGACCTCAATCACTAACTTGAGCGTCGAAGGGATCGGGACAGAAAATTCCCCCCGACATCAGTCTTAATGCATATGACGCGTCAAGAGCTTGACACCTACATCTCGAAGCTACCTCAGCCACCACCTCGGACACTCCTACCATCTCGGGTTTGAACTACGTCGGGTTGACTCAAACGTTGATGACGATTTCTCCTAACAATATGTATGCATGCATGTATGCATGTATAATTTCATACATAGTGAGCATGGCTAAATTGTAATCTGCTGGTTGATGATTCTTAAGTGCAACGAAAAGGTATAAATGGAACAATAATATAATGTGCTCATCAAATAGTTTAGATTGTGTTCCATGATGGACTGGAACACACTTGTTTTGCCTATAGAGACCAATTGTGGGAGATGTCTGAGCTATCGGGCATATAAGAATGAACTGGTTACTATCAAAATAGATATAATTAAAGACAAATCTCTGTAATCTAAAAACCTGTTCACTTTCAGTTTTGAAAGAAAATACTTTGGTAAGTTGCTTTTGGAGATAAGGATGATTCACATTTCGACCATACACTTCTCTTTCCCTTGTTCCTCTTTTCTTGTGAACTCTTTCTGTCTTCATGTCCCCTCTCCCTTTCCGTCAATGTGAAAGGAAAACTCAGGAAATGGATTTTCAAGCTCTAGCAGGTTTATGTTCAAAAAGTGTATCAAAGGTTTTACATAACTGTAACTGTTTTCCATAGAAAGGATATCAAGTATAGTTCGTTTCTTCACGTGAAAGCCATTTTCTATTTGTCTATTTGTTCTATGAATAATCCCAAGAAGATCCTCTCATATGTTTTAGTAGTAGTTCCAATAACAAATAGTATAAGCGAATATTTCTAGGATTTCTCATTATATTCTTTCATGCCTAATTTCTACAAATCATCAAAAACCTTTGAATTCAATTTCATCCTCCGCCATTTCTTCTATCGTACAAAAACCCTCGGCTGGAAAAATATCTTAATTTAGGGAAGGGGAAGAGGCGAAGAGGACCTGGAGGCGGGGCCACCGGAGAAGGCAACTAGGACGTTATCGGTGGGCGAGATCATGGCGTTGGTGGTGACGGCGAGTTTGAACTTGCCGAAAAGGTAGGCACGGAAGCAGGCCGCGCACAGTCCGTTGACCGCCCTTGGCGCAGCCGCCGCCACTGTCTCTCCGCACTTGGTGCACCGCTCCAGAGCCCCGTCTCCGGTCGCCGAAGACGTGGGCGAGTCGCCAGCGAAGGAGAGGCTTGCGACTCTCTCCCGCGTCTCCTCCTCCGCGCCGCCGTCTTCTTCCGAGCGCTGGCAGTGGGACTGGTGGCACTCGCCGCCTCCGCCGCCGCACGACGCCATCGCCTGATTCGTCTCTCTCCAATTGCTTTTACCCCGCCGCCTCGGTTGGCTTGCGGTGGTAGAAAACCGTTCGATGTTTTAAGGGCCGACATGAGTGGATTGGGTCGGGCCGTGTCGTTTCATTTTGAGAATTCTGCGGTTCGATGTTCTAAGGGTAGAGATGAGTGCCCTCGTTCGGTTCGGTTCGAGTCGGGTGGGGTCGGGTCGGTTTGGTATGAGAATTCTACGGATCGATCTTTTAAGGTTCGAGATGAGCAGATCGGGTCGGGTCGTTTTGGTGTTAATTAAGAATTCTTCGGTTCGATGTTTTAAGGATCGGATCGGATCGGATCGGATCGTGTCGTTCCAACATAAATAAGCTTAAAAATTAATAATAAAAATTACATTCCCACATACATAATAATAATTATCAAGTTGTACTTGCTTTTAGATGAAAAAAATCTTTAATTATTATTTATGAATCTTTTATTTTTTAAAAGATGATACTGACTTTCGCTTCGTTAGTCATCACCTTAGCTACTCGTTCGATATCTTCACCCTTGTATTTTTATTTCGTTCACCATTATTAAGGCGTTGCTTAAGCCTGAAGCCTTTACCCTTCGTCTATGTTACAATTTACATGGCTATTATTGTTTCCCTCCTCTCCATCTCATATTGTGCCATCTTCGAAGAGATTGTCTTTGGCCTATTCTTCTGTCTTTTGGATTCCGCACCTCTTGTTGTGGCTTAATCAAAGAAACAAAGCAACTCGAGAATGAGACAAAATGGGTCATACAAGAGAGGACAAAAGGGAAGCTCCATTGTGACTATCACCTTCCCCTTCGTCTCCTTGCTCTCAACCTTGTCTACCATTTAGACAATATCGAGTAATGGTGGAACCTCATGGTAAGGTGGAAATAGTTACGACAAGGCAACGAGGAGGAGGTGGCAATCGACGAGGTAAAGATTAGGAATAATATCATATTTTAAAAAATAAAATATGTTATGCGGGAATAAAATAAAAAGAAAATACTCTGAGAAAAAAATTAAAAACATGAGATTTTTTGAAAATTTTGGCCATTACTTTTCTCAAAATTTATTGATTAGCTCATTAGCAAATATCTTGAGCTGTGGTAAATGGCCCTATCAGTCGATCTAAAATGAAGTGATGTCTTTCTTTTGTGGCCGCAAATTTTATTTGTCACCTAATTGCTTAATCAGAACCAATCATAACATCATTTGTCAAATACCACCATATATGAAATGACACTTTGAGAAGAACAATATATTTGATCTATTCTGACGGGAATTCCAAAGCAACTTTCTGAGAGGACCTTAATGAGTTCATCCCATGTCGTATACAGTGATCTGGAATTTGGTCAATTCCTTCATCGTCCAGAAAAGAAGGACAAGAGTTTGGAAGAACATGATTACTTCTCGATAGCTCTTAAGAATATTAGGATAATAAGGTCATCACATGATTGTAATGATGATTCCTGTATTACAAGAAAACATAATCTGATCTTTGTCACACTCACTGATTACTGTGGTGGAGAGATCTTTAGATCGAGTCCAATGTTCATCCCATTGTAAGCAATAGGAGCATACATCCACAACTCATCTGAGCTCAACAGCTGCATAGATTTAATAGTTAAGCGTCAGTATTTGACATTAATCTTTCTTATCATCATTGTCTTCTTTCTTACCTTAATTTGGAGCTGCAAGAACTTCACATATTGAACAGCTTCCTCCAGCATTGTGCTGATGTCAACCTGCAAGATATCATGAACAACATTACTGAGCTCTAGATGTACCATAGAAGGCAGAAACATCATCTTTGATTAGGCTTACTTTGGTTCCATTAGGCACCAGATTCTGTAATATCTTCAGCTTCTCATTGATCCTCTCTCTCCTTTTCTGCGCTAAAGAGACATCAGCATTAGCTTCTGCTCCAACTATGAAGCTTGTTCCAAGTTTCAGACCGAAGTATATTACCCTTGCGTATAGGCTTTGTGGATCGGTGGCTGAACCCCGACCTGCTCTTGCTTTTCCAGCCAGAATGAGAGCAGGAGAGCCGGAGGTCGTAGTGCCTCCTCCGTTGAGATCAGCGAGTGAGTCATCCTCCGACAAGCAGCTGCATGAACTCCGGCCATTTGCGGCAGTGTTGTTCATCTTGTCTTCATCATCGCTGCTCTTGGTTGTCTTCTGTGGTCTCTTGGACTGTGCCTTCTTTGCATTCTTGGGGGCCTGAATGATTCGTGGTGATCAGAAACAGGTGAACAAGAGGTTGAATCGATTTGAAGAGGACAACACTTACATTTGCTCCAGCCTTGGCCTTCTTCTTGGAGACATCATCAGGACTGTCATCCTCGTAGGTATTGAGCTTCCTTTTGGGCAGTGTCATCCCAGGAACAGGTTCCGAGAGGATGAAGCTCGAGTCACCGGCGTCGTCGCTGCTCGTCTCCTCGTTCGCGTTGGTCGGATCACCGAACGAAGGGTTGGGGATGAGCCGGAGGGAAGGGGTGATGAGTTGGTCTCCCACCGTGCAATAGGCGGTGAAGGCGGAGGCAGAGCTCGTGTTGATTGCAGGAGCAGCATTTGGTTCACTCAGGTAGTAGCTCTCGTAGCCCGAACAGTGACCGAAAAAGCTGGTAACGTTCTCGGACGAGGAATCATAGGAATCAGCAGCGTGGTCTGAAGACCAAGACATTGAAGACAGGCCAAAGCTGAGATCCTTCACTGCTTGCTCGTTGGTGCAAGAGAAGGGGCCAAGCAACTGCGCCATGATCTCAGAGTCCTCGGCGCCAAACGAGCTCCATCGCGCCTCCTGAGCTGCTACTCCGGGCTCCATTCCTTGTAGCAGGCTCGGAGTACTGCTTGGCGATGAATGCCAGAGCTCAGAAACTACTTATACAAACAGGCTTGAAGAATGTTGTGGCGTCGGGAATGGCTTCGTTTCTCTCGACGAAACTGGCAGATTCTTAATGAAGGATTGCTGACAACTTGTGCGTCAATGGTGGAGCAGATCATAGCTGATACAGCTCAGAAGGGGACATAGAAAAATTGGAAGATCCCAGTTCATCAGGAAATCAATGTGTTCAAATGATTGGAAGATAAAAGACTCGTCGTGATCAGCTTGACCCAACAAAAACTATGGGAGGAGGAATATGGAGAGAGGAAGTGCATGATCTGGCAACCAGAGAACGTGGTGTTCAATGAAGAGCATTTATGGGTGAGGAGAAAAGAAAGAACAGAGTGAGGACGCCATGATCGTGCAGAAGAGTTCTGCCATTGGATAGTAGTCTAAAGCTATTTGCACACGCATCATATACTTCTCCAGTGGTGCTGATGGCCCATACACTCTTCCATTTGCTTCCACACCGTTCTTCCCAGGGTTCAGAACTGGAGACTTTGGGACCTTAAAGCTTATGATGATGGATTCAGTGACTGCTCTGGCTCTTCCAATTCTTAGATTGTATTCATTGTGAAACACTGAAACTAAGATTGGAAGAATTATTTTGAGCAAAGAACTAAGACTGCATGCATGCAGCACCACTAATGTGATGATTACTGCTGAAGGACACAAGGAAACTTAGCATGAAATAGGAATTCTCCTGAATGAGCTAAATGACAGATCCACATTTTATAAAGCTAAAACTTTGTGGCTGTAATTACAACCAATTCTTCCTCAACACTGAACATCTGGTGACAGTATGCTCCTTGAGATCACAACTGGCTAAAGCTGTAAGCCATTTAATCCATCAATGTTAACTTCATCTAAAGATCAGTAAGTTGAACACAACCACAGATCAGATTCTCTTGACATAAAATTAATGGCACAAGGTTATATATTATCATCCTTCCCCTAAAAATAAGTTCATTCCTGGGTGGTTGGCATGTTACTGTTCACTTAATAACACAAAATGCATAAGGTTGAAGGGAGTAGCTCATTGATACAAGTCCTACTGTAGTTTTATTCTTTCAGGATGGTGGAAGAGCAGGTCAATATTTTAGGTCTTGTAGCAGTTGAATTCTTACTTCAAGTTCCCAAATTAATGAAGAGAAATCTTCCTTCTTTATTGAATTTGGTCATCATATATAAAGCATATCATCTGTTGAGACTTCAAATCCTTGTCATCTCCTACTGGTCCTTGTGGCACAGGATTAAATTACAGGAAACAAAAAGTGATAGAAGTTTGTAGAATGGATCTGATAAGATCAGAAGTAAATTTTCCTCAGTTTTTTTTTTTATTTTTCTGGTGCAGTGTTGGCATAAGATTAGAATAATCATTTATTACCTATGCTTTCTTGAAAGATTAGAATAACAACAGCACTGGAAACACAGGGAACATATCAATAAGCTGCTTTGATTAGAGCCAATAATTCCTTTGTTCTATTCTCTTGTTTGGCCTGCACAACTGCAGAGACTTCTCTAATCAATGGCTCAGACAACATTTAGATGTCTCACAGATACAGAGATTTGCTTATTGTAACATAACACAAAGGCATCAAATTAACAACATGAGTTTAGCCAACTCATATTAATTATTAGTTCATCCACAATCATCTAGGATGCATCAAGAACCTGAAATGATAACAAGAATGAGGGAATTAAGCCTGTTGGTTGTGAATTAGCTCCAATATGGACCATGAACTGAGACATTATGTGATTCTTACTTGCATTACTCTCTTTCATTTCATGCGGATGAAATGAGTACAAACTATTAACACAAATCTACCATAGTAGATTACATCTTTATAATTAATACCAATGTCCTCATACGGTCTATATTTTTCTCAAGGACAAAATATATTACAACTTAGGGAAATAACGCTGGCAATGATGTATAAATAGATCGAAAGCTTAACTTGAAAATAAAGGCATACCCACGTTGGGCTCACAATCTAAATATTTTACATGGAGCGTGTTGATTCATGCTTGAATGACATTAAAATAAATGTCAAGAATATATTAATGGGTGGGTGAAGTGGAATGCATATGTATTCTTTCTTAATTATTGGATATATATATATATATATAATGGTTGAAAATATTTTTAATCAAAATAAGCAAATTACATGATAAATACTAATATTTTGCAAGTATATAAATAGAAATATAATATATTAATGTAGAATTCCTTTCACAAGAATTATTGTGCTTATCCAGCAAAAACATATGCTTTATTGATATCTATGCACAACCATTTCATTAAACCATATTACATGAGAGTATAATAAGATTCATCATTTTATTGCTTTTCCCTCTCCTTTTTCATCATTATGACTTCTTTGGCTCTCCTCCTTAAGCGCGAAGCAAGACGTGTTCAGATCCTGCACAGAAATGGTCCGGAGATTAATGAATGTGCGAGACAAGGAAGATAAGGAAAGATGAGTCCGCGACGACGTACTGCGCGAACTCGACGTTGATCTTTGCGTCATTCAAGCGTGAAACGGCGGTGAACGCTGCGGTGGACAAGAGGAAGTTGGCAGGGCAAGGATCGGTGCACTGGTCGACGACCTCCACCCTGATGATGCTGTCTTTACATGGCCTGTTGGGTCCGCTTAGGCACCTCAGCATGTACCTGTTGGAAATTATATCTTAGATAATACTAAAGTTACTTATGAGATCAAACATAATTTTAGGTTGATTATCGATGATTTAATATAAATCTTTTATCTTTTTTATCCCGACTTGAGATCAACATCGTGGCATGTCGAATCAAATTGTTATATAAGACTCGTTTTAATTGAATCGAATTGAATTGTTAGCTTAGGAGAGTAACTATTTTTTGGTCGAGTTCGTGTGGTAATGAATAGTTTCAGTACCTCCTGCCACAGGCGGCGCCGTTGTCCCAGAGGGCGTCGGAGACCGCCGCGAACATGTTGCTCGGCGGGAACTGGTCCTGGTCGTAGCCATTGCACTTGGTAGCTGGAAGAGAGAGTGAGAGCAGCACACTGAGACACAGCAATATAAAATCCTTTTTGAATGATACATCATCTCTCAGAGTATTTGGAGCACTCACGGAGGTAAGGGGGGCCGTAGGACGCGGCGGTGCCGACGTCGCCGCGGACCGGAGTCAGTTCTCCGAGCATGAGCATGACCATGCTCAGCAACAGGAACAACGTAACAGAAGGCCTCATGTTTAAGAAGAGCAAGAGAAGCATCCGAAGTGATCCCCTCGGGTTGGAGTGGCCTGCAATGGTGCAGCGCTTGTTATTATGTGTCAGATGGGAAGAAGAGAGAGAAGTAAACTGGATTTGGTGTGGCTTCAGCCATCAAGCAACGGCAGCAGATTAAGATCATTCTTACACGGAACGGATGATTCGAACGGATGCTTCAGCGAACGCGTGAAAGCCTTGCCACCGAGAAGCCGGCTTTTGCCTCACCGCTACGCAAACGATGAGTATAACACGAGCGAGTGCGTGGAAAACGGCACAAGCGAAGTCCATCAATTTTATTATTATTATTATTATTATTATTATTAATGCATCCCTGATCGGCACATTCATGTATTTAATAAAAGAGGAAACTTGACCTTATCAAATTAATCCCTAATTAACCGCAACCAATCAACAGTCATTAACAATCGACTGATATATATATATATATATATATATATATATATATATATATATATATATATATATATATATATATATATATATATATTATTTTTTTCTGATTAAATATTATTTTTTTATCGAAATAAATGTGTAGTGCTCATAAGTGCATACTGAATGACAATTGTGTGGCACAAAGTCATAAAAAATCAAAGATTCAGAGACGTTAGATTACCTAAAAACATATCAGTACACGTCCTCAACAAACTAGATCTATCAACTTAATTGTGCAAATCAGATAAATAAGAATTATAAGAAAAGTATAAGATAGTTTATTGAAATAACCAAATCTATTACGAACCTCACACAAGAAAGACAAAGATGAAGCTGTCGAGTCGACCAACGAGCCCTCCTCCACACAGCGGAGAAGCTTCGGGATTGTAAAACGAAAGAAAGGAGGATATGACGCATCTAAGGCAAAAAGTTCCCGCGTATATATATATATATATATATATAT